ATCCATGTCTGATGAGCCGTTCCAAGGTTCGAGCTTGATGTCACTCTGAATAGAGTTGAAAAATGGTAGACATATAGAGATACAACTCACGGTTCAAGGCCAAATTCGTTTCTGATAACGCTTGAAAGTTGACTGATGAAATCGGACCGAATCTTGACAACCGTTTGCGAGACTGTTTTGAGTACAGTGTCGGTGCAATTTTCGGCACATGCCTTGTAGCCGTTGTACGAATCGTAGAGATGCTCCAACACTGTTTGGCATTTGTGCCCGTGTGATTTGCGCTCGTCGATCGTATCAGTCGGTGTAACGTGCTTGACTGGTGGTGAGCTCGTAGCTGGGTTTGATGAGGGCATTTTTTGTCGGTGGAGAGAAGGAATGCAAACGAATGAATGAATGAATGAATGAATGAATGAATAAATGAATATCTATCTACCTGCCGCTTCGATGACAGAAATTACTCATCAGCCGTGGCTTCAATAAACCGATCGCTTGCGTTGTACAACAGATGTCGTATCGTGCGAGAGTAAGTTACAAAAAAAGCATTGAAATTTATTTTTCTATGGGCGAGTGTCTTATTGATTATTTAAAACCTCAAGCAAACAATTCCTTTTTGGAGCAATGGACTCAGAAAGTAATACTTGAAAGAGAGAAGTGTTAGAAAGGTGCAATGCTCTCGTTGATGGATTAGTCTGGCCTGAAATTTTACTTTTCAATCTATATTAATAGCTCGTCTTCCGGTCTAAATTCTGATATTTCTAATAAAAATTCACTGATTATGCACAAACCCCTTTTTTTTTGTTCAATAGGAGAGTATTCTACAGCGATGCCGCTTGCAGACATGTGCAATATCTGTATTTTATCCTCTATACTCTTTTCATCTTTGATTGGTTTCTCTTTCTTCTTTTTCTTCTATACATATATGTATATATATATATCACTGTAGTTAAAGCTATATAGTTGAGTTTCATTCTTTTTGAAATAAAGATCGTGCACAGTGCACACGTCGTACATCAACGCACGTATATACTTACATTTATATATATATATATATATAAGTAGAAAAATGAAAGGAAAGATGACTGTAACAGACGTCATTGTTTCTTCTTTGTTAAGAGATTTTTTTCTTGCTATTTTCTGGATAAAATAAAACACTAGAATGATCTTCTCGAAAGCTGCAGCTCGGTTATGGCATCAACACGACAAGAAATATCTTCTTTAAAAGAATGTGAAATCCCACAACCTTTCCAGGTTCTTTCATCCCTGATTTTTCTATGGGCTGATGTTATCTGGCGGCCCTTATTTATTAATGAAAAATGCATCTTAACTATGCTTGCAATGCTGATATATGCGCATTATAGTCACATCTCAATAATCCTAACCGTGGTGTTATTTTGTCGGTTTTTTCCAATATATTCCTTAGACTCACTGTTGTAATAAAAAAACGAAAAGGATTTTTCAGAAATTCTTGATATAGAAGAGTTTTTCACATAAGTTTGTAGTACAATGAATCAATGGATTATTAACAGCAATCTATTTTTGCTATCTTATATGTCCTTTATTGATTTCTGTTTAGATATAGACAGTTGATAGATCGTTTTAATGACAATAACTATGCAGAAATTAGGGTGTGTGATGGGTGATGGTGTATGCAGAATATTCCTCACCCACACCCAACCATGAATATCAGCGTTCTCACCCTGATCATTCTTCTGGTCATGTATGTCCATGAAATCGTTTGTTATTCAATCATTGAACATCAAACTACGGATTTCTTCACGTCCGTGATGAGGTTTACTAATCCTGATTTCTGTCTATCACCGAATATCCACACTTATCTCTGATCTATTCCCATCCTTTATTCAAGTCATCTCCATTACGTATAGGATTTTTCTGGCTGCACGTAGTAGAGTAAGAGCCCTTGGAAAGACTATAGCATTTGAACAGATTTAAAAAAACAATTCCCCGCTCAACGTGAACTTTATATCTTATCCATCGTCATCGTTCTCTCAACTTTGCCACAACCCATTCTCATATTCAGTTTGGCTTGCAATCAACTTAATGACTGACAAGGTCATACATTGCTCGGTGCCTGGCTGTCCTGTTTTACTTCACAAATTATCGGCGTTCTTCTTTATGTGATGCCCTAGACTACGTATGAGAGACAATTCACCGAAATATTCCTGGCAAGGAAGGTTCTCACATGGCTACTTCAAGACCAAGAGAGCTGAGCATCCATGCTGAGAACACTCTATGATATACTCAACTGGTCGGCTTAGGATTACTCAGCTTTGCATCATTTACAGAATAAATGATGCCAAAGCTGAGAAACTAATTATAAATACTCATTAGAACTTAGCATTGGATGTCGTGCCCTTTTGTTGAACAGTTAATATTTGAATTCTCAGATCTTGTCCTTTATTTAATATCCATTGCAGAGTTTGATCGACTGTTAATATCATTCAATTCGAGTGGGCTCATTTTAAAAGTATTCTATCGACAAATATCATTCGAATAGAGTTTCGATTGATTCAAGCCGGTGCGCACAGTAATTGATCGTTCTTTGTCGATGAGTATACTCGATCGCTCTTTGATGGATGATTCCTCTGCTTCAGTTTCCGATCAACAGATTTGTCTAATCACAACGATTGTTTTCCTGGTGCAGGTTATTTTCAAGTTGACATTTCCATCGACTTAAGCATGTATGTAGGACCTGTCTCCGACCTTTCATGATATCGCTTTTCATTCGGTGAGTTAAGGACGAGTCACCAACAGTTTTCATCAATCAGCCCATGTTTTAATCTACTTCACCCAAGTTTCTCTTTCATGCATGTTGTGTAGTGGGATTTCAGTCCATTGTATGTGCTACAAACAATCTCTCGTTGATCATTGCCCATGCTTCTCTTTGGTCGTTGATTTAAAGATGATCTAATGTATTCTCTCACTAATGATAGGATCCCTCGATCATAATCCATCAATTCTCTATTCAAAATGAGCTGATGACTAAAATTGCAACCGATTCTGTGTAGTACGTACGATCTTGAAAACAATCGCTCTTAGATGGTTGCTTTAAAGGTGGCTCTGCAGTTGTCCTCAACGACCAATGTATCTTTCGATCCACAATCCTCGAATCAATGTTGAAAATCAGAGGTTGATTAAAATTCTAATCGACTTCACGTGGCACGCAGAATCTCGCATCAATCCTTGATGATGTCTCATTTCAGTCATCGATTTACAAATACTCTACGCGCAGCTCTCACTGACCATTCCATCTCTTCATCGATTTCGATTGACTCTCTTGACAATGCATTGTTGACTGGAATATCAATCCATTTTCTCTGGTACGCGCAATCTCTAATGAATATTCAGTTCAGTCTCTTTTCGATCATTCATTTACCGATGATGCAGCGGATGCTCTCAGAAATATATGCCTCGTTCGATCAACATTGATCAAATCTCTGTTGAGAATGATTTGGTGACTAAAACCTCAGTAAACTACGCGTGGTTTGCAGAGTCCCCATCGATCAACGATGCTGTCTTTCTTCAATCGTTGATGAACAGGTGATAAACCAGCTGTTCTCTGTGATCTCCGAATCTATCAATTAATACCCATCAATTCTCTCTTGGAAAAACGTTCAAAAGTAAAATTTCAATTGACTCGACTTGAAACACAGGATCCATCATCCGCCCGTGATAATGTCTTTTTTAGTCGCTGGTCGATAGGGATTTCATGATCTACTCTCGCTGATAATTCCAACTCTCGATCGATTCGTATCGACTCTCTATTGGCGATGGATAACATACTGGAATTTCATGTTTTCCTACCCTACTATTTTTGGTATTCGAATATGGAATGAGTTGGCCTATCATTCTGTAGCAGTTAATTCAAAATCAGAAATTTACCATGTTCTTCCATTCTTCGAATTTTCCGTGGAGCGTCTTTTCATTACTATTGATCATACGATATATGCTTCCAGGCACTACAACTGATTCGGAAGAATGGCAAGCGTACCATGCCTTGTAAAGCAATCGGAATTACAGTCACTTCACTGTCAATCATTCAGTTAACATCGCAGACCCTACCACGAGTGCTGACACTCAAAACATCGAAAATAACTGGACGTGTCTAAATTTCAAGCATAAAAACAACTTGGTCTTCATCGGGCACTTCTCACTTCGTATTTGCCATAATATCTGTGGCAGCAAGAGTTCGGCGAGAAGCCTATTCAGAATTTAATTCGACAAATCGCTGTTTTGTATCCTGTTCAATAAATGTTTTCTTTTTCTCATTTTCGGTTGCATAAAAGATCCAACTTTCCACATGAATCATTCTCACTGACACATCACTCGTTTGAAATTTATCGCCATGATGAGATATTACCTTAGTTTAACAGTTGTGCCTTTCAGACATATGGGAGTACTGCTATCAGTCGCTGGTGTCATCTAGTCTCTGACATCTATCTTCGTCTCCATCTCGAACTGTGTTCATTCTTATTTCGACCAATCTACTTTTTTTCCGTTCTGTAATCACACGAAGCATTGCTCTATGTAGACGGTTGCTATCAAACGGAGCTGATATCTTTCATGTTTTGTCTCACATGTTGCCACACGAAGAGAAAGAGGTGCATATTTTTGTTCGTTACTGCACTATGAAGTTAGAAAGTCTTCTTTTTGTTGTTCTGTGTCTTTTGATTCTGTAGAATAAGTGTCAGACTGAAACGAGCGTACCCCATTGTGCCTCGCACATGCTTCCCTTCGTCTTCTCAGACGATAGAAGGAGAAAAAACGGAAAGACGAATTTCTTTCTTCTGCTCATAAGGCACTCTCGATGAGCGAAGAGAAAAACAGAGTGCAATGGGTGCGTTTTTTTCTTCTCGAAGAATCATGAGGAAGACGAAGAGAAGGAATCGTGCCTATAAATAGGAGTAGTGTTCTCTCACCATCATCATTCATTCATCTTTTTTCTTCAAAATAATTACATACGCCATAACAATTCTATCATAATGTCCAGCAATACATCATCACAAGTTGGAGACAAAAAAATTGACGACACACGCTCAGAAGATCCATCTCATCCAGGAATGTCATCCGATCCTGCTGAACGTGGCAAAGAGCTAGGCGAAGAAAATGCCTGTGGTGGCCACAGTGTAGGCACAGGTGGTCATGGCAAAAGCAGCGGCTGTAGTATGTCAATTAACAATGGGTGTTCTACAAGTATCGGCCTCATTTTTATTTTTTATTATTATTTTTGCCCGATTTAAAGGTGAATGGTTGTTGACGATATAATTTGGAAGAGCAGCATCTAAGATATCATCCAAGAGAAATTGACCTCAATTTGCATCAACTCAAAGAAAATACTACATTGGTAACAATATCGAAAAACTTTTATCCAAGTTATTTTCTTGACGTGGTCGAACGTTACGAAATTTCTTTTTTTTTATGTCTTTGGTGAGTCGTATCTTCACGACGATAAAAGTAAAAGCCCTTGAATTTACATTGTAGATTACTCACAGTCAGACCTACCATCTATAAAAATTTCATTCATTTTGATTCAGCCAAAGTCAAGCTTTTCTTGAAATACTGCCCACGACAGAATCTAATAAACTGATACTGTATAACGGTCAGTATTTCAAGAATAACTCAAGTTTGGCTAGATCAAAATGAACAAAACTTTTATGGATGGTAGATATAACTGTGAAAAATCTACACTGTGAATTTAAGGGTCTTTGCTCTTATCTTCATGTAGGTACGGCCATCCGAAGACGGAAAAATGAAATTTCGTAACGTTCAACCACTTCGAAAAAAATAACTTGGATAAACGTTTTTCGATATTTTTACCAATGTAGTATTTTCTTTGAGTTGGTACAAACTGAGGCCAATTTCTTTTGGGTAATATCTTAGATGCTACTCTTCTAAATTATATCGTCAACAACCATTCACCTTTAAATCTGGCAAAAGATAATAAAAAAAAATAAAAATGGGGCCGATACTTATGGAGCACTCTCTATCTCTCAAACATTCTTTCAATTCAATGTGAACATTGTTTTAGGTAGTAGACAACGTGTCGGTGGTAAACACTCGACGGATATGTTGCAGTTCACCGAAGAGGAACTACATCCCGGCATGAATCCCGATCCGGCAGCGCGAGGTGCTGAATTGGGCCGTGAAAATGCGCAAGGTAATCATAGTGTGGGCACCGGTGGACATGGAGTGAGTGAAGACAAAATTTTTCAAGCGACAAACGAGTGAGATCAACTGATTTCACATGAAGATGCAGTCTATTCCAGCTGATGCCATGTTTTCAGATCTTGGCCTCGTCTCTATGTGCTTTTGTAAAATTTCCCGCATCATTCGTTTGTTTTAAATGAACTTACGTACATTCATCTTCTATTCTTTTAATATTTTATCATTCGTTTCTTTTTGTGTGCACTGTTGAAAAAATTACAACTTGAATAATAATAATCATATATTATAATAATGAAAAATAGCAGTTAGTTTCAGTTTTACATGTGCTAGGAATTTTCGACCATATTAGTAAGATCATCATCAGGAATAAGACATCATTTATGATCTGAGCACTTTTTTATTCAAAACGAAGAACAACAAATAGAACATAAAGAAACGCGAGACAATAGCGACGATACTATAACACATCAATAATATAATTTATTCTGGTGTAAACGAATATCTTTAATTGATAATAAACATTGAAGGATCCGGTCGAAAATCATGGATTTTTCCTCGGTCTGGAAACAGTATAAAATGAAAGTACCTTGNTTTTTAAAAATCAAACTTGACCATCTAGCAGTGTCAGTAGCATATTTTAGCCATTCCTTCGACTCGTATTCGTCATATATCTCTACTATTTGCGCTCAAGATCAAAACACAATAACAGACTCTTGTTTCTCATGGGAAAAGGAGTCTTGCAGGCAACACTACTGTTTTCAAGAGGGCCCAATTGGTGATTCTAGCAGACACACACTCGACTCTATACTTCGACTATTCATACTTGATAAAAGGCTTTTTTTTTAAATCTAAATTTGCAGATGTTTACATTTCAAGGACGACAAGATGCACTAATTAATTATTGCTTTTGTTCCAGCTTATATACCAACAAAGACTATTTTGTTCGAATATAACATTGGCCTATTGGCACTCGAAAAATGACGTATGGATATTTTCTCACTGTGCCAGTCAATTTGTCTGAAAATTTCACCATAGATGCAACTCCCTTTGTTCTATCGACTGACAGTATCAACGTTTTGTATTGCTGTAATTCTTCAATAGCTAAAGTTTGGAAAAGTCCTCAAAATCTCTAAATGTGCATGTAGACCAATGTTTAGAAAATGTCGTTTTTTCTTCGCTCTTATTCGCAAAATTCAGAAGAACACAATTATGGCGGTGGAAGAATTTAATTTAATTCTGCAGTGCTAGACTCGGCCTGAAATATACACGATGTCAATATATGTTGCTCGGCTGAATATCATTATCTCCATATACATCAGTGTTGCAATCGGGTGTGGGTTTAGATTAAAGGAGACCAATACCCACCCACCAAAAATTGTACTTTTTCCAATTTTGGCAAAACAATTCATACTGATCAATTAGAACTTTATTTGATCGACAATTGTTTTTTTAAATCTTGAAGTAATATTTGTAGCGAACGGCTAAACGAGTAAAATGAACAGTGCAAATACCAAAGGATTCTAGTTTTTTTTTTATTTTGAGCTGTGTGCGTACGGGGTTTCTACCACTTTTCTGGTAGAAATATTCTTTCTTGTTGTTTATATTTCAGTTAGAAATAAGGTGACCCGAAACGGTCTGTGAGTAGAAAAAAGCTGTTGTATATGTAAAACGTCGAATTCTAGCTTATCAGTTAAAAGCAACTCAGGTCGACTGTAACTGAACAGAATAATTTTAATGTATAGTCGTCAATACAAAGCTCTGGGCCAAGTTTCAACCAGCCGTAATCTCAACTGTTTGCTTTCAAACGTTTTTTTAAAGATAGAGCTCTTAGTATAGCATATTTAAGCAGTGACTTGAGTCTAATCAATAAAGGTAATATTAAGTTACAAAGGACAGACGAGTGGTTTGATAATTGAAGTCGGGAGAAGTAACGTTTTTTACTTGAATTCATATGTCATTTGAGATCAGAGATGGAAACCTGTTTTTCTCTGGTAAATTTGCACCGTCTCGACCGATTGGTCAATTGGTATTTAGTCGGGTTAAGCTTTCTAGACCCCTTATCTTTAGTGCAATGTCAAGTTCATGCGTAGAAACGAGATCCATTTTCTTGGTTCAGTTGTATTAGCGAATTTTCATATCGAGTGTCTTGTAGTCAAGACGTAATTGTCGTTGGAGTTTGTGTACCTCACATGATTGGGCATGAAATCAAGAAGACGGAGAGAAAACAATTGTAAAACTGATGTTAGATGAAAATGTCCAGATAACCTCGTAGCATGGTGTGAAAGCATTTGCCTCAGCATTTTCTTGCTCTTTTATTGACACAGACCAAAATGAATCAAACAGTTCTCAATCAGTTAAACCACTTTCAAGAATCACATACATTATCCTATTGGTTCTAAAAATAGAAATCTCTATCAAAAAGAATTCGTGGAAAGAGATGGTACAATACGACGAAAGTAGAGTACTCTGGGGTAATTCGGATCACTTCAGAATTTTTTNAGTATTCACCACACTGCGGACCAACGACGAATCGCTTAATCCTTCCAAGGAGACTACTTTTTCTCACTGTGCAACATCATTATCATTTTCTTTCTTTTCTCTTCTTCGCTCGGGTATAAAAAATATCACCGACACATAACAAGTGCACACATATAGCTCAATGTCTGTAGGCCATTTTATTGGCTGAGACGGTTTTTTTTCTACCTTTCATATATCCTGTATTATTTTAATCGTCTTTTTTTTCTTTCATTTGCTTCTAACAGAACAAAAAAAAATCTATCGACACACATCAAAAACATTCGTATTACTGCAGATAAGGAGTAGGCCACCTCACTATACCTAATACGGTTTTGTTCACTTATTCAGATTATGTATTATTTTCATGTTGTTTATTGTTTCTACACTCTGAATAGATGAACAAAATCCACTGAGCAAAATGAAGAATATTCGTATTACTTGGGGTAAGCCTTAGCTTATCTCGTTACTCTTGAGACATTTTTTTTTTGCCTTTCATCGATTATTCAATGTTTTAATCGTGTTTTTTTTCTTTTATATTATCTTCAAACAGAAAAACGAAAGCTGTCCGTGCAAACCAATTACATTCCTATTACTAAAGGCGAACCGTAGGTCATCATGTTGTACTTGAGAAGTTTGTCAAATTTCCAACGATTACTCACTGTTTTAATCGTATTTTTTTTTGCTTTCTTCCAATAGGAAAGCAAAATCTATCTAGTCAAAACAATAAGATTCGTATTACTATAAGTAAGCAATATGTCAGTTTATTCTTCTAAACATTGTTTCACTTGTTTAGATTAAACATAATTTTCATGCTGTGGATCATTTCTACTCTTAGGTTGGATGAACAAAATGTACCGACAGAAATAAATAACAATCATATTACTGGAGGCCAGCACTAGCTCATCGTGTTGTCCGTGACAGATTTTTTCGATGGATTAGTCACTGTTTTAATTGTTTTTGTTTTGTCTTTTCTTTTCTTTCAACAGAAAAACAACATCTGTCGACACAAAGGAAGACCGTTCATATGGCTGCAGATAGAGGTGTAAGCTGCCATCGCCACCAACTTTTCTCAGAAATCAGCAGCTGCAGCCACCAAATAATCGACAGTTTTAAAACTTTTTTCGAAGCCACCGTTGTCAATAAACTGCTCAAGCTTCTTTGCCGCCATCACAAAAAAAACTTTTTGATGAATAGTGGACCACAATTGACGTAAGTAAAGTTAGCACCAGATTCGAGTATTTCTTGTCCGGATTCGCTTTCTTACCTGTGTTAACTCTCTAAGCCCTTGTTTTACGTGCCAAATTTTCTGCTCTATCAAAGGGTACTACTTTCAAGGCGGGTTATCGAGCAAAAAACCACCACTTTTCCTCGAAATACTCATAAATTCTCTGTGTAACAATAACGAATATGAAGTATCTCTAGTCCGGATTCGCTCTACAAATTGTGTTAACTTTCTAAGTGAGTGTGTTGGAAGCTGAAATAAATTTTCTATCCGATGGTACTATTTCCAAGTAGTGTCATCAGGCGAAAATCAGGGGTTATGCTTCAAATACCGAGTCTAGCACCCTATCAAGCGTGTATTTCTTGCCCGAATTCGCTCTACAACTTGTGTTAACTCTCTAACTGAGATTGTTGGATGCAGAAATAAAGTATCTATCCGATGGTACTATTTCCAAGTAGTGTCATCGGGCAAAAATCAGGGATTATGCCTCAAATATCGGGTCCAGCACCCTACCAAGCGTGTATCTCTTGTCCGGATTCGCTCTACAACCTGTGTTAACTTTCTAAATGAGTGTGTTGAATGCAGAAATAAATTCTCTATCCGGTGGTACTATTTCCAAGTAGTGTTATGGGGCAAAAACGAGGCGTTAGGCCCCAAATATTGGCCCCAGTACTGCATCTCGGGTGTAATCCTTGTCCGGATTCGCTCTATGACTTGTGTTAACTTTCTAGTTGACTGTGTTAGATGCAGAATGTCATTCTCAAGCTGATGGTACTATTTCCAAGTGAGGTTATTGGCAGAAAAGTGGGAGATATATCTGAAATTATCATGTTATTATGCATACATAGGTATCTTTACACAATCTATGACAATGATCGCCCAAAATGGATATATGTTTGGGGTCATCGCACTGCGAAGAACAAAATATGATTGAATTGGGAAGATTAATGCGATCTAGACAAAGTGTGTGTTGAGTTTCTCAATAGAAAAAAAATGATATTTCAAGCTTAGTTAGCGAAAATATGTCTTTTTTTGCCGGCGTATCGAGCTGTTGAGTTTTTGGCAAACATAAAATTAAGTTTTCACTTCTTCAATGATCATTTTTATGTAAAAGTCAGCGATGATAAATCTCTTGATATAATCTCGAATAATAATAATGCAGCAAGTCAACATATGAAGTCTTATTTTTGGAAACTCTCAGCAGGTATCGCGATTGAACAAATTATGAAAAATCATATTGGATTTGATTTTTGAAGAGATGAAGAACTTGTTCTAGTCTTATCACCACTGATATCGTCTATTGATAAACCATATGTTTCTTTAAGCAAAGAAGAATTAATGAACGACATTTCTCATCTGATTATAGCTCAAACAGGGGATGCACTCCGCTCATGAACAATTCATCATGACAAAATGAATTCACATTCACCATGCTTAATTGCTTCGGCATTATTGGTAGGACCACCGTCCGTTAATTCTTTAACACGTACCGTTTATAATTTGCATCCAATACCAGTTGTCGTTAATAGAAAAAAATATATTTAGACTAATATGCCAGCAATGTTCCATCTAGATCTAATAGATCAAACTTTAACCACATGGAATGAGAGGCAAAAATCTAAATGCATTTTCTCGAAAGTTGCACAATGTGAAGAAAAACCAACATTGGTGTCTCTTTCGGGTTTGCCTTGTATGGAAAAGCTTTTATTAGCTGACACTTCTACTTGGAATGATTGCAAAATAAATCGTTCAATTAATTCTCAACCGTCTATCGTCAATATAGTGCAAGATATATGGGCGTGGCCATTCGTTACGGAATTTCAATTTTGAATCTTCTAAGATCCATTTTTTCGTAGTAACAGAAGTAAACGCTCTGAAATTTCTACTAGTAGTAGAGGCTCTCGTGATTAACTATAGGTATAATTTCTTTAAATTTTTTGTTGAAGTCCGTCAAAGCTGTAGAAAAAATACTAGCCGTTACGGAATTTCATAAAATGGAATTTTTTTAAAGANATCTAATGAAGTTGAGTACACTTCGAGCCGAAACGAAACTTCTCTCACATACTGTTCTCGTTCGTACTCGAAGCAACGTTCACATTTTACCTCTCCGATGTCCATCAAAGGAAACTAGAGCATCGACTACTAATTCGATGAATCAATATCGCTGGCTTGATGACAAAGTCGAACAGCTAAAAACGACTATGGAAAAATTAACCAATCGCTTATCTGAAATAAATAATCAGATGTCAGAACGCGTCGGTCAAGTTCAACAACAATGTACAAATCAAGTGCTCGAAGTGCAGGAAAAATGGACAAGCAAGGCAAATACTTTGATTCAACTTGAAAATCAAATCACTACAATCAAACATACAATGAGTCAGGAGCGCAAGAAATTCAACAGTGAAATTACTGCCATTAAGCATATGGTCATTTTAGGTAAAATTTCATTTCAGTGACTAAAAACGGTATGTGTTTCGAATGCAAATTAGTCGTGATATCTTGTAAAGTAAATATTAGTACGTAATTACGTTTAATGTATTTTTATCCTCTAGTTTTATCAAATCAGATATGCCCAATGAAAAGCAAATTTAGATAGCTATATCTTACGCTTTCCTTTATACAATGTAGATTTTTCTTACCTTTGGATAGCAGCTATTTTCATATGAACCGTTGATGTGAATACTTTCTTTGGGTGAATATTAGTTAAAGCACGTTCTATGAAATCTATCATGTATGACGTACACCTTGATTATATAAACAATTAGTACATCAATTTCATAAATTCTCGCATCAGTCCATCAAAAGATTGAGACACAGTAACATTTTCTTGAGATTATGTTATGAGAAAAACCAAACTTTTACTACAAATACAACTATTGAAGAGCTGTATAATGCACTTTTGGCACTGAAGTTAATCATAAATAGTAGGACATCATTTTTATTCAAAAATATGTTCAAACGTCAATATATTTTCTTTGATTAAGCGTCCACAACTACTACAACAACAGCTACAACAACGACCACTACAAAAAAACGTAATTATTTCTTGTCTTTCTTACAGAATAGCAGTAAAAGAAAAATTAATAAAAAGAATGTCTTAAGCAACTCGATTAACATGTGAAACACTAATGACGCATAAAAATGATAATTGATAAAAATATATCACTAGAAACTACTCTAACTGTCAGAAAAACACTGCGTCTTACGTAGATCATATTTTCTCAATCTACTTGATTTCATTTTTTACATAGCACGTATTTATCAGTGTTTTTTTAAAATTGTATTTATTTGTCTCTATAGTCTTCGCATTCTTTCTTTTGGTTTTCTGTATATTTGTACACGAGAAGGATCTTCAAGGTTCTGTGAAGTATCTTAGACCCTTTCGTCATGTCTGTTACTCTCTGATAATGTGATGGAATATAGTATTGATTCGAAATTCTCGCTCTGTACATTAGCATTCCTGTTCAATCTAGATTTAGAGGAAAGAGATGAAGGTCATCAACTGATAAGATTTGATATTAATAACACAGATAAAAGATTTTCTTTAGAGTATTTACCAATCAGTATCATAATTAACATTGAGCGGACTCTCTATTTGTATTCTCAAAACTTTAGTTCAGTTTGGCATATTGTTGTTAGGAAGAGCAATATCAACTTAGAAATGTTAAGATAAGCTGCACATAAATGCCGCCATCAAATAACTAGAAAGTTTATAGTGATGGATATTGAATTCCATTGTATTTCACTTTTGATACCTTGTGCTACTCAAATCAAAATCTGACTAATTCTTGCCGGGTTATTCAAGGTTGGCAATGAACTACGTTTTCTTACTATTTGGTAGACTTATTTCCGTATAGACTATTTCTAATATATCATTTTCCTTTCTCAATCAATTGCATGGGCGAATCAAACATTGGGACTTATTACGCCATTATATTTCCCAAAAGTATATGAGAAAGCATTGTAATCAGCTTTAGAACAACAAATTTAGATTTTCAACAGCAATCTTCAAAAAATGATTCATAATCCATTTTCTTTGCAACATTGAATCATTCTTCTGTTTCGTTTCTTTTGCAAGTTTGATTAACAAATCTCTTTGCTTTTAACAAGTTTCACGATAAACTAGTTAACGGAAAAGTATTTTTGACGATGTCAACTTGAAAGGCATATTTATAAAAATAACATAGTTTCAATCATGTTTCGATATTGTAAACTATAGTACTACTGATTTCCAAATAGAAGAATTATGAATATTGTTTTACAAAGGTTTGCTACACAAAATATACTGATCTGTGATTTTGACCATTCGAAAAAACAATTTTTCGTATATAAGAAAAGCAAATACTTTGATACATCAACTCTGAGTTAATCCCACGAGCTCTAATCGATATTCATGACCATATTTTGCATCTACGGAATGGTCAAAATGTTTAACAAAGCCTCATTTTTCATCTATTTTCAGAGTTTAATTGAAGCTGTGTAAAGGCATAAAAATTATAGCAAAATCGTGGCATAGACAGCATAAACATTCGAAATGTGTGGAGATATACTGTAGTATGTGCACTTACGACGAAAAAATTGGTAAATGCCACTAGTATTGAGAAGTTTCTCTTTCAGATCTAATAAATCCACAGCGCCTCTGTCGCTGACACAGCAAACATATTTGATAGTAGTTCATCAAAACAAATTGAAAATGGATTGTCAGACTTTAGTTGTTGAGGAAGATATTTTTTAATCGACACTAGTCGAAGATATGGGCTAGTTGTGATTGAGAGCATTGGTCAAGATAAGAGATTCGGCCACATATTTATAGGTATATTTCAATATTTTTCTCTTCATTTGTATCGCAAACATGCGAGATTAGCTTATTTTGATAAAATTATTAGAAACATTTTAGTTAATAGGTTATTACAATATTGTAAATCACGTTGGTATTAATGGAACGATTTGAAATATAAGCTGAGCGCATCTTTCAAAAAATTATATTAAAACTAAAACTCAAATCCTATAAGAAATTTATATTGGTGACATCACTAGCCTTGTCTAATAATTATTTTATCCATTCTTGTGCTATAAAATTGAGAGTGGATATACAACCGCTTCTTATTTTTCTCAATCTAAATTGCATCAATTCTATCTCTCCAATAGGTGTTTTTTTCTTAGAATGAGTAACAAATTTCATCTCAATCGGGAGCTATGTTCCAGAGTTGTCTAGCTGTCAAAGACGCAAGATTTTGAAATTTCTTGCAAAATTTCAGTATTTGGTTTTTTTCCGATTTCTCAAAAAAACGAAATAATCATTTAGAATATATTTTTTCATACGCACGGAATAAGGTATTCTTGTATGTTTGCAACAGAAGCGAGCAGAAATTCTTGTCTTGATAAGAAAGTTGTTGAATAATTCAAAATTGTATAAGCATTGTTTTTTTTTCGTATCACAATTATCGGTATGTCCGAAGAAAAGAAAACTGTATAGTCAATTTTGTCTGTATGGCTCTTCCTATCTGGTCTACATTGTGTTATATTAATCTGCGTATGGGTTTTCAATAAATATTTCGCAGTTTGTCTGAGGAGGTTGTTTTCACGAAGGAAACGGAACGTGGTTATTGTATTAAATAACTTGAAAAAGCGAAGACAAAAAGAAGTTTTCACTTGGTTATCGGTAGGTTTCAATCAATACGATTGTGGATGAATAGATTCATATCATATATTCTTGGTTTTATTTTTAATAAATGATGATTTTCTACGTATTATTTTCGTTTTTTTTATTGTTTTTACATTAGTATGACCTACTTTCGTCTCATCCTATATAAGTAACTGGGTTATTCACACTCATTTTGTTGCGGTTTTGGTATCACTTGCGTCACAGTATATTTTAAATGTTCTAAGCTGCTGGTATAAATGCGTCTCGAACGTTCTCGAAAATTTGATTCCAATATTTCATGTCTTGTTTTCCTCAGAGTACGTGTTAACAGTTAAAGATGAAGATACGAATAGGATGTATGCATTGTATTCTTTCAGTATCAGAATTCTATATAGTATGTTGCACCTTGATTACTCGTATAAATTAGCAGAGTTCAAGATGAGAGATATTTTCGCTAATCTGCATTCTCAAAGCCCTCATTAAATGTTAAAGAAAAGTTCGAAGTGAGACATCTAGAAATAGGTTCTCATTCACATCCAATAGTTGACGATATGCGAAAGAAAATTCCGGCTACTATCAATAGAACTATTTACTAATGCTCAGCAATTATTCTTTCAGCAAGTTCTTGTGATTCAATCAACTTCATCAACGTTTCTTTCTCACTTGTCAGTCACTTGAATGAGTAAATAAAATAAATAGCAAGTTAGCAACTTTCTTAACTTTTTTAAGGATCTAATGAATTAAATTAAGAAAGAAAAATATCTAAGTCGATATTAAAACAGACTCAAAGTTTGCAGATGTGATCGATCTGGCTAGTGCAGTAGTTTTTATTCATCGATATGGACAAAGTCATATAAATCGGTCTTTTCTTTTAAATCCAAATCTGGAAAACAATAAAGGAGCTCATTCGATGATCTGATCACGAACAGCGGTCTTTCCTGTTGGAAAACGACTTCAACATCACAAATTCAATAGACACTTTATGTAGAAACATAATTTCACCTAAAAACTTGTCTTCTTTTCAGATAATTGTTTGACAGCGTTGATCTAATTGTTTAAAAGTACGAACTAATTTTTAAATCTGTCGTTTTTTCAAGGTTCAGAAGAAAGTTATTGTTCTACGACCTAAGGCGCACTTGATTGACACCGATATCTTAACAATCGACTAGATACATTGAATATCAGTTTCAATTTTTTTACAGCACCATTACGATCTACTGTCATCCCGACAAATGCCATATGGGTAAGCAATGGTATTACAGTGGCTGGTGGCAATGGACAAGGCTCTTCACTTAACCAGTTCAATCTGCCACATGGTTTATATGTCGATGAATATCAAACTGTATATGTTATTGACTACTACAATCATCGTGTTATGGAATGGAAGTTTGGTACAAAGGAGGGCAAAGTGGTTGCCGGCGGAAACGGACGAGGAAACCGATTAGATCAGTTGTCTGGTCCATCAGATGTAATAGTTGACAAAGAGGCAGATAAACTTATCGTTTGCGATCGTGGAAATCAACGAGTAATCCGATTGTCTCTTCGAGGTGGCACAAGTGTAGAAACGATAATGTCAGGCATTGACTGCTATGGCTTGACAATGGACGATCGAGGCTTTCTCTATATATCTGAATACGGAAATTGTGTTGTTAAACGATGGCGAGTCGGAGAGAATGATGGAACAGTGGTGGCAGGCGGCAGAGGAAATGGTGATCATTTGGATCAACTGAATTCCCCTACCCACATTTTCGTTGATGGAGCTTACTCAATATACATAGCGGACACACACAATCATCGTGTAATGAAGTCGATGGACGGCGCAAAAGAAGGTATTATCGTAGCTGGTGGACGAGGTGAAGGGAACGATATTATGCAATTGTCACACCCTCATGGATTAGTTGTCGATCAGTTAGGCACTATCTATGTGGCAGACTTTAGCAATCATCGAGTAATGCGTTGGTGCAAAGGAGCTAAACAGGGAACTATCCTTCTTGGTGGATATGGTTCAGGAAACCAAGCACATCAGTTCAATCGCCTCGTAGGCCTGTCATTCGATCAACAGGGCAATCTTTATGTGGCTGATTATGATAATAATCGAGTACAAAAATTCAACATCGATTCACGTTTATGTTTGTAGCTGTTGAGATTGGATCTGAACGAATCGGATATTATTTTAAAAAAGAAAAAACTATGAACTCTTCGTAATTACGTTGAAACTAGCATGTTATTTTGTGAAATATGTTTGGTAATGAGTGTTGAAGTTTATAGCGGAAAATTCGAACTGCCCTCCCGTCTCAGAAAGTTTGCTAACGTGTCTACATGCCTTTTCAAATTTTTGAACCACGAAATTTATATTACAAAATAAATATTTAAATAAATAATTAGTTTGAAATACAAGAAGTGCTTCGTCTTCACTCGCTTGACTTTCCTCTGGGGATATGAATTGAGAATTTTTTGCAACATTTAACGTTAGGATGTAGATGTTCACTTCACTGAAACCACACATTCACACTCACATTCAGTCTTATTAGGGACCAAAAATAACTTGCCGATGTGACTAGAGACAATTTTTAGAAAATGAATTGATACATCTTTTCTTCTAGATGCGTATCTGAATAAGACAGAGTTGCTTTCTTCAGAGTCTTTCAATTTTCATAGAGCTGGATAAGACCGTCAAGCATACGTATTTGCAAGATATTTGCTTGATTTCCGACAAAACAAATGTGGTAAAAGTCTTTGACTCCCAAAATTAATTTTCGGCTTTCTTTTTTGCTGGAGCTTAGTTATCAGGAAACTATTCGTAATAATGACGGAATGTGTTACTTCACTAATTTCTTCGTTATTTCTTCTCATAGAAAGCCCATTGCTATCCTATTTGAAATGCTAGACCTTAATGCTCACACGAATATAAAAGTGCTTTCATTTTAAGGGTGTTGGTGTGGGTGTGAGTGTCAACAGACGGAAAAACTATATCAACATTCACACCTAGACGCACAGATAAACATATCCATCCCATCGACACAGCAACAGCCACATCAACACACAGGGACACTGATACGTACAACCACTGACGCACACTCTCGGTGGTATTAGGCTTAAAATCTTGGGAGATAGTCAGGTCTACTTGATCAAAAATCAGAAAAATCTCTTCGTTTACGGTCCACTCTAGATTGATTGTTCCTAAACGATAGGAGGAAATGATGGTACCAATATTTCATCAATAAAAGGAGTATTCCATTTATCAGACAGATCTACACCTGATGAACGGTCAATAATAATTAAGGTAGAAAAATATTTATTTAAGCTGAGACGATCTATTTTGTCAGTTGTTCGAAGCTATTTCTATAAATTGTCGACTTTAAAAAACGGATACGTCTCAACTAAGTGTCATAGAATTATTTTGTTTCCTTCAACAATATCAATGTCCGATTCTTGTCAATTGTCGAGCTTGCCACCCTCGATCGTCTCGGATGACATGAAATTCAACATCCTCATTATGCTTTAAAAGAGTTCGTCCAGATGTTATATTGACAATTGCGGAGTGATGCACAAAGATGTCTTCTGGAAAGCCAGGAATGCCGATAAATCCGTAACCTTTCTGGCAATCAAACCATCTTACTTTCCCACGTAGTCGTCTCTCTGAATCCACTTCAGAGATGTCATCATCCGTCACACAATTTAGCCGCTTTTCTCTTGCCAACCACAATTGTTTCAAAGCATGAGAAGCAACCCGCTCGTCAGGTGCCATTGCGAGCCATTCATGGTTCTCATAGAAATGATGACACATTGTTCGAATGATTTTCTGTTCAAAAATACTCAGTTTTCTATCAGTATCATGGTATGTGTCATCGCCATTATTCGAATTCATGGTGTTTAATGTTCCAGAATTAAATTTCCATTGGCCGTCATGATATGAGAAACCAGCACCAACAAAATTGAATTCCTTCTTTTTCCAGCAGCCAAATATTGAATAAAACAATCTAGCATGAACATAATCTCTGTCGCATGAATACTTCGGCGTATTCTCGAAGATCCAACTCGACCGTTTGATATAAATGTCGCCAATTTGACTACCGACATTGTTTAATATAAAATCATTTTTGTCATCGCATAAATAAACCATTAGACCGACATAATTCTCGTCTTTTTCAAAGATATGAGAAGTATGATGAATATGAATGCTCTTGATTTTAATTGATGGTTTTCGTGGATCACTACTTGCAAACTCATAAACCCAGTCACTATCTTTATGAGCCTCTGGCTTACGAAGACCTTTGAGTGATACGTCGCCCATACTAAAACAAAAAGACTTGCTTCTACACGGCAGGGTGTGGATGTAGGATGTGGATGCAGGTGTTGATGAAGATAATAACACCCACACGCCCTACATCCACATCCCACACCCTCAAAATTTCAAAAGTTGAAACTTCGACCATCTTTGTGTTTTATTAAAAGATTTTGTAGGATTATAAATTATTTATTTCAAGAAACGAATGTGAACGCGAACGTGATATGAGAAAAATAATGCCAACGAAGAACCCTACCGAAGAAACATCATTCTAATGATGTGTGTGCTGTCATCAAAATAAAATACGAGTGTTTACATTCCGGACACTATGTCGACGGAAGAAAGAGAAACGGTATGTTTGCACGAGCAACGTGACAGCTGGTTTTTCGTTGTTTCTTTTTCATCTCTTCTCGTTTAAGAAAAAGCAACGTTAAGAAACAGGTGAAGTATGAATCACTACAATGAAGTGTCTCGCTGTGTGATGCAATCCACACCATTCCATACTCTAGTCGTAATTTAGAGATTTCAAACTTGTGTCATTGCACAGATCGGCACAATACCATAACGTCGAACTCAATCCATTTATCTATATAGCTTTTGCTAACACTTCTTAAACTCCATTGTATGTTTTAGTACTTCTATGACACAAAACAAACATGCTTCGTTTCATACTGTTATCCGTTGACTTCATGATACAAGTTTCCATTATGACCTGGCTTTTTCCAAGAGAAAAAAAAAACTTTAAAGAAGAGAAAATTTGTTTTCATGACTAATTTCTTTCAACACATGTTACTTCAATCGCTATTTTTGTTTTATTTCACCCAAAACCTTTTGCAGTTTTTCCATTTACAGTATAGATGGCACTCAGTATTGCAATAAATCTTTTTCGAAAAGAAAGTGATTCATTGTCTCGGAATTAAACAAACACGTAGATAATAGAGAGCTCGAATGGAACAATGGTTTCAAGTTTTCAAAAAACAGTCTGCCGATCAAATCGATAATGAAAAATGTATACACGACAGCGTTACGAGAAACAGCTCAGCACTGTAATAATAGATTGTGGTATGATAGCACGTCAATCGTTCACTCCTTTCTATGCATTCGATCAACTTCACTAGATATCTAGACTTCTCCTTAGTGTGTCAAATTCACTATATCTTCGTGATTTTCTTCCTTTCATTCATTATCGAACCCATCTTTTTCTGGTAAATAATATTATAGCTATATTTTACTCGCAAAAAAATGTCCTTTTACCAGTTTTCCAACATAAATACAAGCAAACTAGACGAGTTTTGTTTTTGAAAACCATTCAATATTTCGAGTGAGTATGAAAAGAAGAATCTCACTCACCCATAGCTTCGATAACGGTGTAATATGGCTGCTATTGCGATGACATTGTAAACCCTTATAGGACTCTTTATATGGGGTGTAGGTGTAGGTGTAGGTGAGGATAAAACGCAATAATATGCCAATGCCTACAACTACACATTCACACCCACACCGCCTGTGGGTGCAACAGAAGTTATTATCGTCGCTGACGGTCAAGGTGCTGGGAAGAGTCTAAAACTGTCATGCCCGAATGGAGTTGTCGTCGACTGGTCTGAGACAGTCTTTGTGGCAGAAGGGCGGAATAACCATGTCACACGTTGGGTGAATGGAAACGGGGCTGTCGTCGTGGGTGGAAATGGAGAAGGAAGAGGAACAAATCAGTTTGATGGCCCTAGCGGCTTGTCTTTTCATCGTTATGGTAATCTGTATGTCGCTGATTGTGAGAAACATTGGGTGGTTCGCTTTTCGATTCTTTCGTAATAAATAGAGGCGTGCGCACCACCAGCAACATTTTGCACAGTTATCCCCGAGATAAATGTGCTGAATATTTTTATTGTTACTATTTACTGCGGGGTGTGTATGGGTGTGGGTGTGATTGTGGTTGTGGTTGTGGATGTTGGTATCGATATCGGTGTCGGTGTTGGTGTTGGCCTTTTTATGGACACCCACACCTACGGATGCCCACACCCTACGACGATATTCACTATCGAGAACTGAACAACTACTACTCGGTTAGAACCAAATTACGCGCACCAACAATATGTCTTTATCACAACAAAACAGAAGAAAATGAGATGCTGTTCATCCTATTCAACAGAAAACAACAATGAACATGACATCTGTGGAATAGACACATGTAACGAAATTCTTAAGTTTTACCATATATATCAATAACCATTGGTGTTGTCACTCTATCCTTACTGAATATTTTTCTTGAAATTAAAATCTACTCAAATGTTATTCACTGATTCATGCAAACATATCGGTATCATCCTCACTTTCTAACGTATTCCCAATACATCATCTTCTATTATTCTTCGAGTTCTGTAAAAATCCATAAAAATATTTGTCTTTAAGACTTCTCACCTATTCTGCTTAATCAGAAGTTTTGATTTCGAACTTATGCAAATATTTTATAAGTAAGATGCATCACTATAAAAGGTGGAGAAAAAATATTTCACATGATAGATTTATATTCGTAATAAATTGAGTCGTCATGAATCCATATACGTTCGACACTTTGATCAACTTATTGAAGAAAAATGATAGTTCTGACAATAAGATATATACGATGCAAATAGCTATAGGTGCTGCTGGAGAGATATCAGCATCACAAGTGGTACAATTGCTGAAATTTCTTTCTTCCGATAATGATAAACTTGAAATGGCAAAAATGGCATTTGGTTATGTGATCGATCGGGATTCTTATGGTAGTATTGTCGGTGCAGCATTTTCGTCTAGTAGTACGAAGGACATTTTAAATGAATATATTAATCGACATTGGTAATTTCATTCAATTACATCTTAAAATTTTTTTAAAATAATCTAGAGTTTTCTATTTAACTTTGAAAAATAAATATGCATATAACTTCAAAATAAAATATCCATGAAAGATCGTTGGCTACATAATGATTGAAGAAGATGTCTTTGTCATTAGTTGACAGTTTTGAAAATCATCGTTTATTTTGAAAGCAATACTTTCTTTCTAAATATTGAAATCGCATATGTCTCGTAGATATTTGTCTATTGTTGAAATATATGTCGAAAGAGCAATATCAAATCTACTCATGTTTCTCGGGGTGCAATACAACATTACATGTGTTGTTATTTATTTTCATTTGTCCGATATCTAATTTTTGTCTGACAACCTATAGAAACTGGAATTTTTATCTTTTCTGATTTAATAGAAAAAAAAAACTTTCAGTAGCTTTTTTCATCGGCGAGCAACAATTTATTGCCAGGAAAAAAAAATTATCTGTTGACATATTATGAAGTCGTGCTTGAGTCTCATCTTTCTTTTCTTCATTTTCAGTTCTTTGCGTCTGCACCAAGAAAAATTCTCTTTAAACCAAGAACAAGTTGAGAAGTAAACTAAGTTCATCACAAAAATATTCACTAATCAATTTGGCAAGAATCACATAATTAGATTAGTATTTGAAGATTAGAAAATAAACTGACTTTGAATTCTAATTCTTCATCCTTGATTACCTGGGGTCAAGCTTTTTAGAGAATATTAGAGGTTATTCTTATCAATCTATCCGAGACAGAGAAACTTTAAAGATATATATGGCCGTATAAGCCTCTTTTTCAGAAAAGGAAATAGTCATGCTTTTTTGGTCAAAAATTTTCGTAGTATTTACATAAAAATTTTGTTTATTAAATAATTTTATGCTTCAATGCTTTTATTGATTGCCTTTATTTATTCATCTCATTCACCTTGCTTCTTGAATATATAAACATGATTACATGAGTGGTATTGATAGAGAAAAAAAACGAAGAATGGGTAAGTATACACATAAACAAAGCATTTGAATATATGGACGTGCTGAACCATAGGATGTCCTAATTCTTATTTGTTTATGTAGCTTCAGTCAATTGTCAGAAAAATTTGATTTTTTTATCAATTATAGTATATGTATAATACTAATGATATCTTACTGTTTGAACTCTATATATCACTAAAACCAAGAGTTATCAAATGTTTCTTTATAAGCATTTTGTTAAAGTATTACGCATCTAATTTGTTAACATACGCCAAATCTTACCTGAAAAATTAATACAACTAGAAGTATCAGCAAGTTTATTCTTACTGTCAAATGGTCAATAAAGAAATAGAACTCATTTCTTATGCTCTATAGTTACAAATAAGATGTTTCCTAAAATTCAGATTACATAGACCAGAAGCGACTTGTACGATTTTACTTATTTTATGAAAACCACCAAATAGCTCCTCTGTAAACACTGTCTCGAATTGCATAAGTTTTGCGACGTTGATTAATGCTTACAATAGCCGCTGTGGCACTATGAATATCACGATTGAAATTCTTGTCTTCATCTGTTAATTCACATCCATAAGGTTTCTTTATTTGAGTAACTATGTATTCTTCACCAATATATTCTTTGTCAGCAATAATTTTCACATATTCTTCTACATGTTCTAAGAGTCCTAATTCTTTCAGAATTTTAATATCATTTACCCTCCCAATATAACATTCGGATACATGTACTATTCGATGATGAAAATCACACGCTATTTGCATTTTTAATGCATAATTTGTTGGACTTTTTGTATAATAATATGCTTTACGTTGTTCTAAGTTAGCAGGTTCTGGAACTTCAGTGAAACTTGAAACAACGATTAGTTTGCTATGCTGTTCAGATCCATGTATCGCGCTTCTGTCAGCTATATTGGCAGATAATGAAACTAATTTTGGATATATAGATGAATGTAAAATATTTGCAATCCCTGATAAAATACGATGCACTATTAATGAATCCAATTATAATTCAGTTACCATACAGCATTCGGAGTGACAATGCGTTAAGTACCATAACGTCACCACAAGGAAATTCATATGAGATAAAAGTGGTATAATGGTATTGTTTGATTTTTGCTTGGTTCTATGCAAACAATAATTTATCAGTGATTGTTCATACATCGAATACAACTGTTGTGTTTGTTCAATATCATGTCCTGTATGCTGTACATAAGATTCATTAGTACAACTTCACTCAGACCATGGACGTTGTTCTACAAAATGCAAACAAAAGAAGATATGTCATCGATCATTTGTTGCGTAGTCTTAAGACATAAAATAATGAAATGGGAGGGACATGCCTAAACCAAAAGGATGAATTTCACGTACCACTATCTAATGTTTCAAGTTGTTGAATAGCAACATGCTTCTCTTCCACTTTCTGTGGTTAATTTTTTTTGACTTCTGACGTACAATAAATAAAGTTATTATGATGTCGAAAAACGTTTGCGTACAAATCAGATTTTTCGGAACGAATACATGTCTAGATTAACATCGAGTTACAGTGAGTACAACATTTTCGACGATCAGTTGTAGTAGATTGACATTTAGAGCAATCCCATTCAACTTGTGGAGAAAACATAATAGATATGTGTAAGTGTTTGTACTCGAATGGAAATGTATTGAACAAAAAGAAGAACGAACAAAAGCAAGAAAAAAAATGATCGTAGTTAGAACAGGACAAATTAACTGGAACACAAGATGAAACAGAATGAATGAAATCTTATTGTGCACACAACATATACCGAAAACCAGACGAAGTTCAGAGAAAAAAAGGAGAAAGGAAAAAGAATATCGTATCTTTTGAATCTCTCACAGAGGATGATAAGCGTATGTGTAAGTAGCATATGTGGGTCATAATGGACATGTGGCGAAAATAAATAACATAGAGAAAAAAATGTCCTTCGCAGGAATCAAGCCATGCACATTCTGCTATCCTGGTGGATATCCTATACCAACTGGATTACACTGAACATCTTAATCTCAGATAAGTATCGGAGTGTATCATCTCCGATGCTAACAGTATGTAATAGGCACAATGCATGCCTTAGTAGGTATTGATATGCATAGCTCTAGTTATTGTTGTTGAAAAGTTCAAAGAGACTATGATTGACAGTTTTTTTTACTGAACAATCTGTGCTATTAGTAAACCATAGTAGAGTCGTGAATCGCATAATAGCTTTGAAGCCATCTTTACATCAAATACATATTTTGCAAAATTTTGTAGTCTACAAAAAGATGCCAACTCAATATTGATGTACATAAAAAAATTAGATATGTAATACTTTAACAAAAATGCTTATAAAGAAACATTTGATAACTCTTGATTTTAGTGATATATAGAGTTCAAACAGTAACGTATCACTAGCGTTATACATGTACTACAATTGATAAAAAAAATCATATCCTTCTGACAATTGACTGAAGCTACATAAACAAATAAGAATTGGGACATCCTATGACTCAGTACGTCCATTTATAGGAGGTAGTCAAAAACACTGCAATGTATCACTATGTAGAATATCATTCGCCAAATGATTCGTACGGTGGGTCACCAAAGGCGTTGGAGAATGGTTGAAATCTTGTGGCTTAGGCCAATTGGTGGATGTTTTTAATGGTAACTAAATATTTCCTGACAATAACAGACAAAAAATATGTTATTGTCTTGTAGAGAATGAAGTAGACGGCACTATGTTGCTACATCCACAATTAGATGAATCTTTTTTGTGGTAAGTATGTTGCCTATCACCAATCAGCGCTTTATGTTTTGGATAACTTGAAAGGAACTAATGTGACTCAACACTTTTGTATCATTCAAATACATTTATTGATGTACCTTTCGAAAATAAGTGCAAGGATGTGGACACAATTCAATGGAGATGCCGTAAATATTTCAGTGCCACAGCGCAGCCCAATGCAATATTCTGAGCTCAATTTTTGCTAATACCACTAAATTAAAGTTGTATCTGAGTTGAGAAAAGATCAATAAAAAATCTTAAAAACTCCTGAGAAAATCGGGAATATTCGTCTAACGTTATCAACAATTTTGACTTTTCTATACTTCTCAGTGCGAGAATTTTGATTAGTTTGTTATGAGGATTCATTGTTAAGAGAAAAAGTAATTTTTAAAAGCGTTCATACATTGCCATACTGAGACAAAAAGTATTTTGAAAGTTGAACCCTCGTCTACAATTTTCGCTTCGAGTAAGAACTAATCGAAGCATCCGCTTATGAGATGATTTCGACGTGCAAAGGAGAGATGGATACGGATCAAGGTTTTGAGATTTTGAACCGAACCAAACGGAACCGAAACCGAAAGAAGTTCCATTGAGGCTAAACTGAACAGAAAAAAATGCTTGTTGCATTAGATATGAATAAAATCACGGATTTTAAGAATAATTTTTCCTTCTCAAGATTTCGTAAAAACTACTCATCAGGAATATTTGAGAATGGCAAGGTACGTAGATCTTGGTGGGCAGAACAAAAGTTGCTACAAACTTAAAGCTTCTGGATGCTACACTCTAGGGAATTCTGAGATTACAATTCCGCAAAATGAAGTAGAATATCTAGGTGCAGATTTCTCCAGCAGCACGTGTCAACTTCCAAAACCTACGTTCCAAGTACAACTCGACGAGCAGAATCGAATGGCACAAACCGTTTCGCAGAACATGCAACCCTAAATAAAGAAAACCAAAAGGACCACTTTTTCTACCATTGCAAAAAAGTTTTTAAGAAAGCAATTATTGCGCGAATTTGCCCTGGAGCAGGTTCCAACAAAGCCAACCCATGTCCTAAGTACAGCCCAATTTCCACTTCCCAACTGCATGTCTTTGTAGGATTCGCCCATGACAACGTTCCAACAAAACTATTGACTCTTACTAATACTCGTTGATGAATTCAATACAACGACGAAAATCCTAGCTCGCTAACATGCTTCGTTATCCAACAATCTGTGATACAATCCATCCCTTCCCATCCTAGCGACATCTACCAGTAACAATTGCTATTTTTCTCGTCGATTCGCTGAAGAGACTGTGTTAACAAAACTAAGGTGTGATCGAAGCGTTTCCTGATATACTCTATCGATTGGTGAAAACCGCATCTCGATACAATTTACCATTAACGAGATAATGGGCTGATCCGGTGTCCGTTTTCCCACTACAGCATGTATTTCCCTGTCGGATTGGCTCCTGGGTATGCTCCGACAAACGTGTGCAGTTTTCCAGGAGCTTTCTGGCATGGTTTATCCGCTGATGCAAACCGCACCTTGATGCGATCTACTATTCTTCAGATAATGGCCCAATCCGTGAACTGGTTTTGCTGTTTGACCTGTAATTTGCCCTCAGTGTGGGTGATGGCGCGGATGTTGTATATAGAAAATTACCTATACCGACACCCACACCTACACTGCATATCCACACCCAAAAATAAAATTGTGTGGAAACTTTGAATTTGAAGCGCCTTAGTTATTGTCAAGTATTAAATGTGATGCAGTACAGTGAAGAGAATCACCTAAAGAATACATCAATTAATCACCATGTGGGTCTGTTCCTGTTGAAATGAAAACAAAATATTGTATTGTGCATTGGAGTATTGGTTGTCTGAACGTACCATTTCTTTGATCATCTGATAGTCCGAATGAGAGCTGTTGATATAGTTATGGAAGTATGGATAATGGATGATATAACTCTAGCAATCACAAAACTCACAGAGGCATCCAATGAGATGTACTCACACAGTATAATCGCATTTATATTCATACCCAAACCCAGCACACATCATCACACTAGTTGATATTTTTTTAATTAGGTCCAATGTTATGTTGATGTATTGATAGTTTGTTGAGCGAATTTTATTTGGAAGAAGTATAGCAATAGATTCTGTATTTACGTATGATTATATTTTGAACGATAGAATCGAATGATATTCTAAGGGTTTCCTGAGGAAAAAGTATAATACGGATAACAGATCATCATTGGATCCGTTTTTCAGTAAATCAGATTTGTTATTATCAGAGTTTTGTTTTTTCCAAAGTCTAAATATGAGGTTTATGATATGCATCAAAGTCTGTATTGATTGCACTTAACTTTTGCAAAAATACAAAAAGGAATTCGGTAATCTTAAGGGATACGACAAGTCGCGAAATCTTACATTGAAATAGTAAAAAACTCAAATCACAGAAGAAGCTTTCAAAAACTCTCTAGGGCATATGAAATCAAACCAAATTGAGAAATTCGTAGTAACAGAGATGGCGTTATAAACAAATATCCTTTTCAAGAAGTAGAATCAGTTAAAGCAAATGCAACTTATCTGAAGAAATGAGTTTATTTTGAATAGTTGGTGTGACAAAATAAATGGTCTTCTCAAAACTTTTGTCATAACTATTCAATTTTCATCGTTCTCCAGCTACCTTGTTTAAAAGCGAGATGTTCCATGAAATTCTCTAAAAGCTTTGCATATTTTATTTTACGTAAATAATCTTGATTATGCTTTTTTTTTGTAGATGATTGATTCAACATAAGATTTTTGGTTCGATTATTTTACACTACACTTGGATTCATTAATAAAGTTCCTTCTTTAATTTAACTTTATTTCAGTTCATTGCTGAACAAATTCATCTCATATAATTATAAGTCTCACAATGATAGAATTTGTGCAGTGAATCGTATGGAAATCGATAATAACTATCCTTAAGATGAGATGAAGCAAGAAAAGATGCTTATTATTATCCAGCCAACCTTTATCCTTACTTACAAAGTATTGGAGGTTAATTATATGAAACAAATCCCATGATTGCAGAGTGAATTCCATCATAAATTACAAAGAAACTGAGCTTGACAACGATAAATTTTGAAGCAGTTATGATTAAAATATTTACTTCAAAAGGGTGATCTCTTTTTCGACATCCGTTATACAAACAGAAAGTTCCGAAAAATGCAATTTATTCACCAGTTACTTCATAAAAATTACTGTACTACCTAATGCACATCATTTACACTTAAAATAATAATCGTAACTACGTATCATAGTATGCATTTTAAATTATTCATTCATATATATATATATATTGGCTGGTAGGGGGACGAATGATCCATCCAAATACGACAGAAGTCAATATTCAATTTGCTTCATAGATCATATTGAGATGAATAATTCCCGCATTTTTCCCTCGTGAGATGAGGGAGAGGGGGGGGGGGGGGGGTGTGGGGGGCGCGGTGGGTGTTGGATTTTGTTGAGGTTTCAGAAATCAGGGGGGGGGGCTGTTTGTGTGGTTGTTTGTAAGAGAG